TACAAATTTGGTAATAGAGCAATGGTTCGAATACCATTAGGACGACGGGTAGAGGCCTACCTAGGATTGCACGGGGAGTTAAGTTATTTGCTTACTTGCTTAATTGTTTACGTGATGGCATGCTTATATGCTTATGTGTTAAGGTGTTGTATATGATTAGCATGATCATGTTTATCATTAGTTGTGTATTCTGGGACTATGAAAGGTGCTTATGTGTTTCCATTCTTGTCAAGTCATTCGTGTGAGGACTTCGTTCTCGTGCGTATTTTAGTGTCATCGTTTTTGATCTGTTTCTTTTTTCTTATAGCGTCATGGCAACACGAAGGGATCCCGGGGAAAGTTCTAGCTCCAATCCCGTGGAAAGGGATCAGGAGCAAGTTGAGGAAGATATCTTGTTGCGTGATTTGGTCCCACCAAGAGGGGGACAAGTGAGGGGGACTGTTGATCCACCTTTTCAGATGAATAGGGATCAAATTAGGTTAGCCATTCAAGAGGCTATTTTTGATGCATATCGACCGACAGGCGCGTCATCGTCACAGTTTGTGCCACCACCGGCTCCATCACCACCTCCGAAGACAAATGAGCTAGATGATACTCTTTCTCACATTGCCAGGTTCGTGAAGTTGATGCCAACCTTGTTTGAGGGTGGTCCAGATCCGCTTATTGCGGACAGTTTCCTAGATAGGGTGGAGAAGCATATTAATGCCATGAATTTGGCAACGGACAAGTTGAAGATCACATTGGCGACTTACAATTTTGTGGGCGATACTGAGATTTGGTGGAAGACCGTTTCTCACACCCATAATCTGGATACTATGACATATGCTACATTCAAGAAGTTGTATTATGAGAAGTACTTTCCAGCGCCAAAGCGGAGGGAACTAAAGAAGGAGTTTGATGGGTTAAAGCAAGGAAGTATGACAGTTACAGAGTATTCAACAAGTTTACATCACTTTTGAGGTTTGCACCGGGAATTGCTAATGATGAAGAAGGAAAGATAGAGAAATTTGTTGATGGCCTTAATCTTACCATTAGGCCAATTGTAGCTGCTTCAGAACCGACAGAGTATGCAAAAGCAGTGCGAAAGGCTTTAGTGGTTGAGGCTGAGAGTAAGGACAACAAGGCTATCAGGGAGTCCTACAAGCACAACAGGGGTATGAGTACTTTCTCCAAAGGTCAATCAAGTAAGAAGCAGAAGCATGAGCAGTCAGGGTTCAGGGGACAGCAGCCAGTTAGATCTGCACCCACAGCTTCAGTGTCCATGGAGTCTTCTAGACCGAATGTTACTTGTTTCAGATGCGGGCAGTTGGGACATTACAAGTCCCAATGCACTCAGACACAGGTAGCTCGGATGATTTGTTTCAAGTGTGGGCTACCAGGGCATCACAAGTCCCAGTGTACTCAGATTCAGGTGGCGTCTGGTGGATGTTTCGGGTGTGGCCAGCAAGGCCATAGGGTGAAAGATTGTCCACAGCGGGGCAGTGGTTTGGGCAGAGGTGGAGGTTCACAGCAGAGGCAGATGTAGTCTGCCACAGTTTAGTCAGGGTTTCGACCACCACCACCACCTCAGCCATCTCAGCCAGCTATGTCAGCCCAGAGTTCTCGACCTGGTAGGGGAGCTTCTTCGAGTGCACCTACTCAGCAGTCTGGCTATCAGGCAGGCAGTTCCCAGGGGCAGAGGACCCAGGGTCGCATGTTTGCACTCACTCCAGCCGAGTCACCATCCAGTCCTTCAGTTGTTAGGGGTATGTTTCTTGTGTCCCATTCTTGGGCTCGTGTATTGTTTGATTCTGGTGCTTCTTATTCATTCATTGCTTCATCATTTGCATGGGCATTGGGTTTAGAGGTCAGTCAGTTAGACAGACCGCTTTGTGTTGACACGCCTATCGGGGGTTCAGTTGCTCTTAGTAGAGTTTGTAGGAGTTGTTCCATCACAATTGCCGGACGTGTTCTTGAGTTCGATCTCATCCTTCTCGAGATGATGGGATTTGATGTCATTCTTGGGATGGACTGGTTGTCATCCTTCAGAGCTGTCATTGATTGTTTCAGGGGTAGAGTTTCAGTGTGTACCCCGGATGGGGATTGTTTTTGTTTTGTGGGAGATCGGTGTGATCCTCTCACTCATTCATTTTATGGTGTTAGGGGTCGAGATCGGCAGACATTCTTCTTGGCTAGTCTTTTTGCCAATGATGACATTGAGTTTTATAGGGTTGATTATCCAGCAGTTGTGCGTGATTTTCTGGATGTGTTTCCGGAGGACTTGACTGAGTTGCTTCCACACCGAGAGGTGGAATTTGCTATTAATTTGATGCCTGGTACCGCACCAATCTCTATGGCACCGTATCGTATGGCACCGATTGAATTAGAAGAATTGAAGAAGCAACTTGATGATTTGAGAATGAAAGGCTTTATCCGACCGAGTGTGTCACCGTGGGGTGCACCGGTCTTGTTCGCTAAGAAGAAAGATGGTTCTTTGAGGTTGTGCATTGATTACCGAAAGTTGAATCATGCCACCATCAAGAATAAGTATCATTTACCAAGGATAGATGATTTATTTGATCAGTTGAGGGGAGCCAGTTGTTTTTCGAAGATTGACTTGAGGTCAGGCTATTATCAGTTATGGGTTAGAGAGGAGGATATTCCAAAGACCGCGTTTCGTACGCGGTATGGACATTACGAGTTTCTTGTTATGCTTTTTGGTTTAACCAATGCGCCGGCGGCATTCATGGATTTAATGAACCGTGTCTTCCACGATTACTTGGATCAGTTTGTGGTAGTTTTTATGGATGATATTCTTGTGTATTCACGGACTCGGGAAGAGCACGAGGTCCATTTGGGTATAGTGTTGCAGATTCTACGGGAGCACCGTTTGTAGGCCAAGTATGAAAAGTGTGAGTTTTGGCTACAATAGGTGAAATTTTTGGGACATGTTGTCTCGGAAGGTGGGGTTTCAATTGATCCTTCAAAAATAGAGGCAGTTTTGAGTTGGGAGCAACCCAAGAATGTCTTTGAGATCCGGAGTTTCCTTGGCTTAGCGGGTTATTATCGGAGATTTGTGAAGGATTTTTCCCGTTTGGCAGCTCCTATGACCAGATTGACCAGGAAAGGGATCAAGTTTGCATGGAATGAGGCCTGTGAGTCATCATTTCAAGAATTGAAAACAAGGTTCACTACGGCTCCGGTGTTGGTGATACCTGAGCGTGGCTCGGGTTATGTGATCTATTGTGACGCCTCACGTGATGGTTTGGGTTGTGTACTGATGCAAGATGATAGGGTAGTGGCTTATGGGTCTCGACAGTTGAAGACTCACGAGCTTAACTACCCTACTCATGACTTAGAGTTAGCGGCAGTTGTATTTGCTTTGAAGTGTTGGAGACACTATTTGTATGGTGAGAGATTTGAGGTGTTTTCGGACCACAAGAGTCTCAAGTACCTTTTCTCCCAAAAGGACTTAAACAACAGATAGAGGCGATGGGTTGAATTCTTAGAAGACTATAACTTTGATTTACAGTATCATCCTGGCAAGGCAAATATGGTAGCTGATGCTTTAAGCCTGAAATCTCGTGGGACTTTGGCTAGTTTAGCCATTCGGAAATGGAAAATGCTGGAAAATTTGGCTGAAATGGGATTGTATTGTTTGGATGATGATGATGGCAGTGAGTCAGCATTCTTGTTTAGTCTCGTGGCTCAACCCACTCTTGTTAGATGGGTGATTGAGTCATAGAGACAGGATTCAGATTTGGATGCCATTTACACTTTGATCTCCAGTGGCGAAATCGTGAAGGATTGGACCTTACATGCAGATGGAGGTCTACGGTTTAGGGGTTTGTTGGTCGTTCCTACAGTTTGTCGTGAGGACGTCTTACAGGAGTTTCATACTTCCCGCTTTGCAGTTCATCCGGGTGGTACCAAAATGTATCACAATTTGAGACGTCAGTATTGGTGGAATGGAATGAAGAATGATGTTACACAATTTGTAGCTAAGTGCCTTACCTGTCAGCAGGTGAAGGCCGAACACCAGAGACCAGCTGGTTTATTGCAGCCGTTGCCGGTAGCGCAGTGGAAATGGGAGGAGATTGCAATGGATTTTGTGACAGGTCTTCCTAGGTCACGGGGAAATGAAGCCATATGGGTTATTATCGATAGATTGACTAAGACGGCTCACTTCTTGCCTATTAAGGCAACAAATGACGCAGAGACACTCGGTGTACTTTATGTGAAAGAGATTGTGAGATTGCACGGAGTTCCAGTGGCTATTGTGTCGGATAGGGATGCTAAGTTCACCTCGAAGTTCTGGGAAGGACTTCAAGCAGCGTTTGGCTCAGCGTTGCACCTTAGTACTGCATTTCATCCACAGACGGACAGCCAATCGGAGCGTACCATCCAGATCTTAGAGGATATGCTTCGAGCCTATGTACTTGACTTGGGTGGTAGTTGGGAAGATCACCTTCCACTTATTGAGTTTGCCTACAACAATAGTTATCAGGCGAGTATTCAGATGGCTCCATTTGAGGCGTTGTATGGTAGACCTTGTAGGTCTCCTGTCTGTTGGACTGAGGTGGGCGAGACAACCGCCTTAGGACCTGACATTGTACTCGAGACTACCGAGAAGATTAAGCTGATCAGACAGAGATTACTTACAGCTCAGAGCCGACAGAAGAGTTATGCAGATAGGCGGAGACGACCGCTATCCTTTGAGGTGGGAGACCAGGTTTTTCTTCTGGTTTCTCCAAGGAAGGGGTTGATGAGGTTCGGGTAGAGTGGCAAGTTATCGCCACGATTTATTGGACCTTTTGAGATCTTGGACCGCGTAGGAGAGGTTGCCTACAGACTAGCATTGCCACCACAGATGGACAGGGTTCATAATGTCTTTCATGTGTCGATGCTACGGACGTATGAGCCAGATCCGTCTCATATTTTGAGTTGGGTTGATGTGGACATTGATGAGGATGTTTCCTACGAAGAGGGACCAGTTCAGATTCTTGATGCAAAACAGAAGGTGTTGAGGAAAAAGACGATATCGTTGGTAAAGGTTCTTTGGAAGCATCATGGAGTTGAGGAGGCTACTTGGGAGCTCGAACAGGAGATTCGCTCCAAGTATCCAGAGTTGTTTTCTCCCTCAGGTATGGCCTGATTTCGGGGACGAAATCTTTTAAAGTTGGGAAGAATGTAATGTTGTGATATATATATATATATATATATATAATGCTAAAAGAAAAAGAAATAAAGCAAGTGGGCCCCACCCATGTTTTAAAACACACAAAAAGTGTATAAGGCATTACATGACCCACGACCCAACTGTTTTCTCTCTCTTTCTCTGCTGTATCTTTCCTCTCTCGGCATCTCACTACTTCTTTTTCTTTTTGCAATCTCAAAGCTTGATCTAGCTTTAAACTTTTGGATTTTGGTAGAGCATTGTGAAGCAAAGTTGGAGAGCTCGTCAAGGCCTTCAATTTGATAGGAGCCAATCATCATTTGGTGCACTCTAGGGAGTTCAAAATTCTAGGGTTCTTGGGCTTGGATTTGGGGATTTTGGGAGTTTTCACTTCCATTGAGGTAGGGGTGTTCTAATCTACAATTTCTTAGTTTTTTTGTGAATTTTTCCCCTTAAATTTGATCCTATGCATGCTAATTTTGATTATCTAGTTTGTGGTTGAAGTATGTTTAATTAAAATGCTAAATGTGTTCCATGTGTTATTTGAATTCATATATATGACTAGATTTATTACGGTGATTGAGCATGTTTGGTGTTGACATATTGTATGTCCTAAGATTATGTATTTTTTATTTATTTATTGCTTTGAAAGAAAATGATGCTATGGTCAATAAATAAATAAAAGAAATGATTGCTTAGAAATTTCTATTAAATTGTGATAATGATGTAAATGAAATGTGTGAGAGCCTATGGTTGAATTGATAAATCGAAACATGCACATTCATGCATTCATTGGGAAAGAGAAAGGAAAAAAAAAATATATATATATATATATATATATATATATATATATATATATATATATATTTTAACAAACGAAATTAGTTTGGGAAAAATATTTTTTTTAAGGAGTTTGCGAAAACCGGACGCCTAGGAGGCGCCTAGTGGTCCGTGGTGTTAGTGTAGTCTAGAAGGGATCATGGTTGAGCTAACTAGGCCAGATGCGACGCCTTGGAGGTGCCTTGTGGTCGTGGATAGTTAGTCAACCATCCATTCGTGACGCCTTGGAGGTGCCTTGGGTCGGATTACACTAACGGTTTTGGAAATTGAAACGGAAATGTTTCGAAAAATGGGGAGTAACGTTTGCATATTGCACTTTATGACATTGTGGTAAACTTGTGATTGGGTGGTATTTGTTACATACTTGTTATTGTATTTGAGAGTGTGTGTTTTCTTATAGCATGATCCCTTTCACTTTTAATCTATTCCTTGTATGGATTCACGGGGATATAAGAAGTGTGTCTTAGACACTTCCTACTGAGCTTATGCTCACCCCATTATTTCTAACATTTTTCAGGACATGGAAAAGAGGTGGCGGACGACGATCCACCACGATTTTAGACGAGCACGGAGACCTATTTTATTTTTTTTGCTATCTTTTGTATTAAAACTCTCTAATATTTTGTAAATGTAATATTAACTAACTCGTAAAACTTTAGTTTAATTAGTATAATGTTGTAAGCCATGGACTTTTAAATTCTAACTACGCTTTTTGGACTGTAACTTGATATAACCAACGTATGTTCCTTGTTGGATGAGATGGAGGAATGGGATTTTGTATGTATGTAGTCACTTTGGAGATATGATATAATATATGTATATTGCGTTGGGACAAGATATGTTAGATTTAAGGCCCAGGGAGGCCATTGTAATTATTTTTTTTTTTTTGTATTTCAACAGGTTGTTTAGAGACATTTTATGCGGAGGTTATGCCGAAATTTTTTATAAATTTTTATTATTATTTTGGTATCCCATTTGGGTCGTTACAATATGGATAGCTGCTCGATTATCACAAAACAACGGAAGAGGAGTTTGAACTCCCAAACCAAGTTCTTCAAGGAAATATTGTAGCCACGTCAACTCACTAGACGTATGAGCCATCGCCCTATACTCAACTTCAACACTAGACTGTGCTACAACTGTTTGCTTCTTATTATTCCACGTAACTAGATTACCTCTTAAGAAGGCGCAATATCCTGTAGTGGATCTTCTGTCTGAGGGCAAACCAGCCCAAATATAAAACCATCCACCTTAAGGTGCCCATTGGATTTATACAACCACCCTAGACCCGGAGCTCCCTTGTGATAATGGCTAATCTGAATAACAACATTCCAATGTGGCACCCTAGGAGCTCCCATGAACTGACTCACCATACTAACAACATATGAGATATCAGGCCAAGTAAAACACTATGCCAGGCTAATGATCTGTCTGGCATGTGCGAAGAGTGAAGACCAAATTTTAAAGTTGCCTTAAATTTTTTTTCCAAATCAGGCTCTTGGTGATTGTTTCAAACCATAAAGAGCCTTCTTTAAGCGACATACACTATGTCGATACTCCCCCTGAGCGACATAAACAGGTGGTTGCTCCACGAAAACTTCTTGAGCTAAGTTGCCATGTAAGAGCACATTCTTAACATCCAACATAAACAAGGGCCAATTATTCTTTTATTTTTTTCTGCTTCAATTGTTGATTCTCAAGCAGAATTGTGCATGCCAGCCTTGTTTCAGCTGTTGCCCTTTTGCTTCAGCTGTTACTTTCTGTCCGTCATGTTCTTCTTAAAAGTGGTAGGTAGGTAGGTTTTGAACCATTGTTACCTCGTTGTAGATGTTCTTGGATTCTCTCTCTCTCTTCCTCTTGCTCTTCTAAACAAGTGTTTAGGTGGTGTGACTTGGAGCAGAATAAAATTTTCGCATGCTGTAGTCTCGTTGCTTGTCATACTAGTTGACGGTGTGTTCCAATATAGTCTCTAAAACACATGGAAGGCTTGTGTATGTCCAATTTGATCGAGTGAATCCAATTCTTTTATTATGATGTTGGAACTACATTTTCCTTTTTGATCATGAGAACCAGCCTACAGCCTCCATGATAAGATATAGATGAGGTCATTCTGCGAATTCCTTAGTTCTCCCCACATTTTTACAACTGGAGTTGTGGTGGGAAGAAAATCTTTTTTGAACTATGTTGGCCAGACATGAGCATCCTTAGTTTTCATGAACTTCCAAATGCCACATTAATTAGTTGCAGATTGTTGCTTCTATCCTTGCTCTATCTTTTATTTGATGACTTCTTCTTTCCTTGTGACAGTTTCAATTCGAAGGTCGTGCACCTTCATGCTTAAAGGTACTATAAGCTGCTTTTAGATTCTGCTAGACTTAAAATGTTTTTTTACTGTCGGTCATCTTCTTGTCTGTAGCAAAAATTGATTTGATCATGTTGTTTGTGTGGCAGTCCCATTGGGAAATGCAGAAAAAGCGCAGCCGGGTGAGACAGGTTATAGAATATGAGCATCAATGCCTGAAGGTGGTGGAATTTATAGGTTGGGTTGGCCTCACACCTGATTTTGAGCTTGCAATGTGCCTACTTGAGGGTGTTGTTTCACTTGAAAAGATGATTATTGATACTCGCAATCCGAGTTTTTCAAAAACTTGGGATTTTCAAGAGCAGGAGACAACAAATATTGGTAGGGAAGCCGCCATAGAGCGGGCCAGGCAGCTGGAAGCAAAACGACCTCCGCATGCTGAATTAGTTATACTTTGATAATAACACTTGTAGAGCCATGCTTATGCTTAAAAATAAAACGTCATACTAATGTTATTGTTTGTAAGAATGATTAGGGATTGTGATACATATTGTCAAGTCAATATTTATTTTGCCATCAGGAATGATGTTGTTGTAATGTAGACCTTATTAAGGTTTTAGATGTTTCTTTGTTATTATATTGGCAAAGTTCTGAAGATGTTAAATTCCATAAATTTCTAGCTAGTACATAGAAGCTTTGTTGCAATATCAAATGAGATCATCTGGACTGCATCTAAAATAATTAACCCAAAAAAAATAAAATAAAAACCTATCGTCCAATAAGTTCCCAGAGAAAAGAAAAAAAGAAAAAAACTTACCTGCGACTTCCAAAACAGAGGCACCTAGGCTTTGTAAATATATATACCTTGCCCTATTCTTTTGACCAATAATAAAAGAGTAAAAAGTGTTGCACTTCAATTTGAGGACCATATCATATTGTTAAATCTTAGCGATGGACTAATTAAGTCATAATTTTTCGGGCTTCCCCAAGTGCTCGCAGCCCTTCCCCCGAGCACTCGGGCTTCAAAAACAGATTTTTGGGCTCAAAAACAGTAGCCAGAAGCCCTTAGCCGAGTGCTCAGGGCCTGCCAGACGCGTTCGCCCGATGCATGCGAGTGTTCGCAGGGTGTCATCTGAGTGCTTGCACCTCCTTTTTCAGTACTGATGAGCCGCTTTCAAACGGTCATATCTTCCTCGTTTTAAATCCAAATGGAGTCATTCTTCATATCAAATTGAAGCATTTTTCATTATCTTTCCAATGGTATCAATTCTATTCCCAGATTCCAATCCCACTAGGATATATTAATATTTTAATAAGATAGTGTCGGGAAATCATTTAGACCGGGAAGATCTAATTGTGGAAAACCAAGTCTACGGTTATGGAACTTCTTGGAGAATCACATGATGACTTGAATGAGTAAAATTAAATTTACCTCCTTTGACTTTCTGAGAGTCAAATTATCCCTCTTCCTTGCATGAAATGATCATAGTACCCTTGTGCGTCCTTGGGTGCAGGCAAGGACCCAGTTATATAATTATAGAGTTTTACATTGAACACTATTTTATTAGGAAATGAATTTGAAAACCTTAATGTTGGTTAGAAAGCTTTAATTTGAATCTGTTGAAAACCATTTTAAAAGTTAATTTTGATAAAGACTTTACCTTGTGAAAATTGACCTCTATGTCCTAAAAGAATCACTGAAAATTAAATGTTCGGACGTTTGTGATGGTCTTTATATATTCGGAAACTGGACCCAATAAATAATATATTACACACCTAATTTCCAGTCCGTTTGACCACTGAGTGAAGGATCAGAAGCCAGTTTATGTGCAGTCAAGTTCAGCAGAAAAGCTCGATCGATCATCAATCGATCAAAGTTACACCAAAATTGCTCGACCCAAAGCTCGATCAATCGAGAAAACCCAGAAGGTGGCGACTGATGCATCAATCAATCGCACAGAAGCCCAGATTCGATAAAAGACATGTCTCTAAGTCCAAAGAGGTTTCTAAACTTTCCAAAACATAAATAATAATAACTTTCCAAACTTTCCAAAACATTCCTAATAAACTTCTAATCACTCCACACTATAAAAAAAAAAAAGTATAAGAGTTCTTTAAACATAATTAATAATAAAAATATTAATAATAATAAGAGACACAACTACACAATTGCAAGAGATTGGGAGCTTTATTTTTCGATCACAAGTGAGGTTTTTCTTAAAATATCCCGTTATATTGTGTGATTAAGTTCTAAAGCAAAGAGCTTCGTTTTATTACTTAAAAGTTTAATCAACCACATCACCTAAACGTCAAAGGATTGGACGATTAGTCATTGGAGAGCCTATTGATTGATAATTCAAGTTCAATTGACTGTTAAAACGGACATTAAGTAAAAATTATAGAAGTGCTGAAGAGACCTATTCACCCCCTTCCAATTAGGCATAGTACCAGAGCATATCAATTGTAGAATTATCAACTACTGATATGGTTTTAGTAATCAGGTTTATTTTTTTATTTTTTTTATTTTATATTTTTTTCGGAAGGTTCAAAGGCACCAAATTGGAGATATTAACAAGGCTCGAACCTAGGCGGACTGTGCCCAGGCCAACACCTTACCAACTCATCTAAGCCCCTGGGGGCTAGTAATCAGCATATTGCTAATTAGAGTTGACCAAGGCAAATACAAAATTGTAAACATTTCCCAAACTAGATTTTTTACTAATAAATAGTAGCTTGATTTCAAGAGACCTAGTATTGCAATTAAAACAGTTTGAAGATCAAATGATTCAACCTAATTGTATTTTGAATACAGCAAGAAAAAAACACAAATAATGTTGCCAAAGGTGAAACAAGGAGGGCAAATGTTCTCCCATCAATTACAGCTCAAACTAATTTGAAAGGAATTTCTTTTGATAAGTAATTTGAAAGGAATTCAAAACACAGGTCACTTTATTTCCTTGTTAGAAAATTTATGCACACAACACATGTAAGACAAACTATACACAATAATATTATATCATTATACATGGACTTAAATATATTCTGAGAGAGAAGAAAGGGTACGTCCTAACCAGTGGAAACTTGGTGGTATGAACCTAGGCCTTCTATAAACAAGAAACGGCGGAGAATAGGAAACTTATCAACGCCCGCCATGTCAGCATTTGATAAGTGACACCCACAAACGCTGCATATCCATTTTGTTGCAAACGATAGTCAGTGGTTTGTTCATAAATAGAGACTTAATGCTGTGAAAAAGAGCTGCCTGTTGAGCAATGCTGTACCCACATGAACCAGAAATGTCCAAGAATAACAACACAACAGCTCTTAGATGTGCTAGAGCTATGATACTGCATATCTCAATGATATTACGATCTTCAAACGGCCTATGCAAAATCCTTGGTGTATCAATCACTTGATACCTAAGGTATTAATTTATAGTCTGTATGACCAACAAACAGTGACTTGGTAGTGAAACCATATGGCTGAACATCCACATCTGCATGCCCTGGTTATTTTGTTAATGAAAGAGCTCTTGCCTACATTTGGGTACCCAGTAGCCTAGCCATGTGTTTCCTGATCTCTTCAAGATAAGCCAAACTAGGGCCAATGCACTTTGTCACAGTACACATGTGGCCAAGAGCAACAACCTTCAGAGCCTTGCATCGGTAAAGTGAGTCACCATATTTTAACAATTTCAAATAGTCCTTTGCAATCTTACCAATGAGATTCCTTGCAGTATTAATTTGGCCAAGGGCAAGCTTGTAATGGTCTTTGTTGTAGAGAACATGAAGAAGATCACCATAAAGTGGATG